GGGGGGGGGGGGGGGGGGTTGAGGTGCTTCAAAACTAGGTTATGTAACTGGTCCCTCTTATTTTAACTTATCGATCCAGACAAATTACATCTAAGCCGAGGGTCTACCGGAAACAGCCTCTTTGCCTTCTTAAAGGTAGGGGTAAGGTCAGCGTACACACTACCCTCCCCAGACCCCACTTGTGGGATTACACGGGGTTTGTTGTTGTTGATCCAAATAAATTACATGAACATACAGAAACGGAGTTACCCCTCATTAATCAGTAACCTCAAGGGAAAGATGGTTAAACAGAAATTGGCTTCAGTAAGGTGAAGTGTACCTCTCCTGGAGGCGTGTTTCAACTTAGATCAGCCCTATCTTCCTAGAGGTGGTTTGGTTACACCTCACCTTGAGACGCACCTGAGCTTTACCTTTTAGAAGATTGGTGATAAGGTAGTTTTCGGTGGATGCATTATAATTTTATTCTGAAGTGTTCGTATTATTTATATTTTATCTTCTATTCTCTATTCATATTCTAATTTTACACAAAGGGATAAAATGATCTTCTATTTAATAACTTTTCCTTTAACATGCTCTCAATAAGAGTTCGCTATTTCTTTAATAGTACCATGTAAAACTAGCGAGCCTCCGCTAAGGTAGAGTGCGCCCTGGGGTGACCTATACAGTAATGCAAGGGAAGACCAAGAACTGCATATAGTATACGCCCGCTCTCCTCCTACTCCATCAGCCAGTATAAGCATTTTTAGTGCCCTAATCCCGAACTACTAGTACTTTTCATCGTTACCAAGTATATCGTCATATCTACTACAACCAAGTTTTGCTTCCTATTTGCTCTCCTCGGTCTTGCCACCGGAAAATTAGCTATTCGCCTCCACCTCTCTTGTCACCATTTCTGCCACCTATCAGTCCTTGGTTCCAAAGTATCCAGTTAGCAACCAGCCCAAGCCTTGCCGAAATTTCTTAGTGTCGTTGATTCCCCTTTTTTTCACTGCGTTCAATTTCAATGTGTACCTTGGCAAGCAGTCCGTACATTTGTGGCTATCTTGCATAGGCAATCTGCTCACCCGTTATTCGCTATCTAACAGGACCAGCACAAAAAATATCAATGGCAGATGTCTCATAAGTTTTCTAAGTTAATTCCAAGCATCACTTAATACTGACAGGATTCTAGGTGCTGTAAGTTAGAATCCTTTTCAAGCATAGGATTATCCATCTGATTTATTATCTGCTATAGAAACGGCAGATTTACGTAGAAATAATCATATAAAAGTAACTCAAACTTATCACGGTCGATTAAAAGTTTCACCCTCTTTCTGAGAATATGATTGTAAATGCTAGATAAATAGTGTAGATGATCTTTGGTTGAATTGCAACTTTCTTTTAGCAAACAGCAATGTGCCTTAAGGTTTATTAAGATGTGTCTACTAACTAACAACTTATCAGGAAAAAGAAAAGATGTGCTTATGCACTGACAGTCGTTATCCTATTAACCTATAATTGAATCATGTTATACCTAAACATTGAGGACTCCCTGTAAATAGTTTGTTTTACCATTTAAGAACTTGAATAACCAAGTCGCTTACTATTCTCTGTCTCTGTAAAGGAAAGAGAGTCCAGGAATGAAGAGGTTGTGCATGAGCATCTAAATCTTACACAAGAAACTTCAAGTGCTAATTCATATGCCAGACAGTTAGCAGAGCAGATGACATTAGCCAAAGCTTATATTGTTATTGCAAAAGAGCACAACAACCTTCATCTTGCTTGGGAGCTAAGTTCAAAGATAAGAAGTTGTCAACTTTTACTATCAAAGGCTGCAATGAAGGAAGAGCCTATTTCTCTGGATGAAGCAGAACCAATAATAAAAAGTCTATCTTCTCTTATCTCTAAGCCACAAGATGCGCACTATGATATTGCAACCACTATGATGACAATGAAATCACACATTCAAGCTCTAGAGGAGCGTGCTAATGCCGCGTCTGTCCAAAGTATGATGTTTGGACAGTTAACAGCTGAGTCCCTGCCCAAGAACCTACACTGCCTAGAAATCAAACTCATGTCCGATTGGCTTACAAGAAAGTCGCTGCAGGATTTTGCTGATGAGAGGAGAAACTCCCCTAGATTAGTGGACAATAATTTGTATCACTTCTGCATATTTTCAGATAATCTGTTGGCAGTTTCAGCAGTTGTTAACTCAACGATGTCCAATGCTGATCACCCTAAGCAGCTTGTGTTCCATATTGTAACAGATGTGATACACTACGGAATGATGCAGGCTTGGTTCTTAAATAATGACTTCAAAGGTTCTACAGTAGAAGTGCAGAATATTGAAGACTTGACTTGGTTGAATTCATCTTATTCTCCAGCTTTAAAGCAGCTTAGAGAAGCAGACTCCAGGAAGTATTACTTTGATGGGTCTGAGGACGCAAGTATTGAGCCAAAGTTCCGGAATCCAAAGTATATATCTGTGTTGAATCACCTTCGGTTTTACATACCTGAGATCTATCCCCAGTTAGAGAAGATAGTCTTTCTTGACGATGATGTGGTAGTGCAGAAAGATCTGACACCTCTCTTTTCGTTGGATTTGCACGGGAACGTGAATGGAGCAGTGGAAACTTGTCTTGAAGCTTTTCATCGGTATTACAAGTATCTCAATTTCTCAAATCCACTCATCAGCTCAAGGTTTGATCCTCAAGCATGTGGGTGGGCATTTGGTATGAATGTTTTTGATTTGATGGCGTGGAGGAAAGCAAATGTTACGGCGCGATATCATTACTGGCTAGAACAAAATGCCGATAGGACGCTTTGGAAGCTGGGTACCCTTCCACCAGGATTATTAGCTTTTTATGGATTGACGGAGCCGCTTGATAGGAGATGGCATGTCTTAGGATTAGGTTATGACCTTAACGTTGACAGTCGCCTCATAGAGAGTGCAGCAGTAGTTCATTTCAATGGGAACATGAAGCCATGGCTTAAGTTGGGCATTAGCAAGTATAGACCTTTGTGGGAACGGTATGTAAATCAGACACACCCATACCTTCGGGATTGCGCCACACATTGAATTGCTATATTTTTCAACAATGGTAAACATACTCGGTCACTATTCTTTAAGTCTTACAATTGTATTTTTACATCATTGTAGAGTGAAAGTACAAAATTTTGGCCTTAAAAGAGTCTTCTTTCAGTTTTATTAGCATGAAAGAGGAAATTGACTACTACCATGTAATAGAAGCTTAGCATGCATCAAGCTACGGGTTTAGAGAAATCATCTTTTGGTTGAGTCATTTTCTCTGTCTCTACAAATGATGGAACAAATGTTCCTAGCAATTTTCGTCGTGATCTTTCAGCTCCTCTGGTCAACTAGCACTAGCATGTCTAGTTGCCCGTTATTATTTCTTTTCTTCAATACATGAATCCGATAGCATTAGTTACTGTAATATAAATTCTGCAACATGTTTTAAGGGATATTTATAGCTAAATATGATGCATTCAGATGACTATATTGGTTTTTTCATGACCTTCGCTTTCTACTTTTACAGTGAGTTTCTATGATCTTTTATGTTCATTTACCTCCCTGTTTCTTACCAGGAATTATCTATTGATGCTTCGATATTCATATTTTTCAGCAGTTGTTTGCTATCTATAGTTCTGTAATAGTTAGCTATATGAAAACATTCAAATTTGTGTGCACGAAACACAATTTGTGAAGCTGAAATAGAAGCCCAACTTATTCTTATTGGAAATATGAGACAGAATACCTGCAGAGTAGAATTTATGAGTATTCTTTTTAGGGGCCAACCTGTTTGGAAAATATAAGAAATGAAGATTGTACATGCTCCTATCCTTTGGAATTCAACGGTGTTATAATAGCCTTTTAACCTATTTCTTGCAACATGAATGTCATGTCTATGATTTACGGCTACTCTGTCATCACTTAATACTGTTATCACAGGGTGCTGATTCTGCTGAACTAGTACAAAATTGCATTTATTAGCATTTCTCTGTGTTACTTGCACTCTTCAATTCTCGACTCGAGGGACTATCAGAAACAACCTCTTTACTTCACAAGGTAGGGCCGTAGGGGTAAGGTCTGCTTACACACTTCCCTCCCAGACTCTACTTTGTGGAATTACACTGGGTTTTTTGTTGTTGTTGTACTTGCACTCTTCAAGAATTGTGTTGGCTTTACTTTTCAGCCTTCTGGAAAATGGAATGAAGGGTTGTTTGTTCTCATTTAGAGCTTTTAGTTCTGATCTTTCTTCTCATTCCATTTCTATTTTTACTATTTGCAGCCATATGTAGCAATTTGGCTTCATTTTTCGGGTATCCTAGGTTAACCATATAGATCTATTAGGTGACAGTAGTTGTTCAATAGAGGTATCAGGTATGTATGATTGTATCTGCTATTTCTTGATGGCAATAGGTGCACACCTAGTTTAGGTATATATTTCATAACTCGTTCAACTCACTCCCCGCTCCCCCTCCCCCTCCCCCAACCCCATTACCGGACGGAGGAGCACCTGACATTCATTTGGGTGGGGGGTGGGGGGGAGGCAACTGATGACGAGCAGTTGGAAAAAATTGTTTTCCATGGCTTTTTCTACCAAGGTCGGGACTAGAGGAACATTTGTGGATCAAAGAAAAATGCTCATTTATGTCAACTTTGGATACTGGACAGGGTGAAGCTCAATAAGCACCGAGCCTCTACTCATGAATCAGCAAGGATCGGAGGCGGACCTAGGATTTGGCGGTCGTAAGGCACCATAACATTCAATGTAAATTTATGACTTCTCATAAAGATTGGTACAGGGCCCTATGCTAATATCTGACTATTTCTTGAAGATATTTGCAAGTATATATGGAGTTTTTGCCGAATTTTTCAGATGTCTGTGACCCCTTAACCTATAGTTTGTACAAAATGAAGGAGTAAAGTTGTTTGAACAAGCACCTACATCATAAAGAGTAAAATCAGCAACAATAAAAATAGCACTAACTTAAGACTCAATGAGAATATCAATCTTGTAAAAATTGCGGTTCAACCTTTGTAGCATTTGGAATGGACCATCTCCACAAATTTCAAGCTTTCCCTTTCTTTTAGTAGGGAAGTTTTTCTTCCTCAAATGCACCCAAAGCCACTCCCTCCCTCTTTCATGTATCATCCCTTCTCCTTTTTCAAATTTAAGTACCCAATTCCAACTTGTTTACATTTCTCTTCATGCTTTTGCTTGAAGAAATGACCAAGAATGAGCAGCCCATGTATGGTGACTAAAGGTGGCAAAATAGTTTAAAGAATACAGTTATCTACCCATATTATCCATTAAAAAATGGGTTGGATAATAAACTTTTTAAAAACGGGTCGAATATGGATAAGAACCATATTATCCACTAAGAAAATGGTTAATCAAATGGATAACTAATGTGTTTAACTTTTACATTTGTAAAACCTCAAATTGGGGGTTCCTCAAGTTTGGAAGACTGAGAATTCTCCCAAAAGTGATCATATTCAAGAAGCCATGAATAATATGGATATCCATAGTATCCGCCGGATAACCCGTTTTGTATCCGTCTCGAATACGGGCCGGGTCGGATAATTTATCCGTTTTTGAATTACCCGCTTCCGACCCGCCCGTTTGCCGCCCCTAAATTGGTGACAGAACTGTATGGTTACAGAGCTGGTAAGACATGAGTAACATATTGGGTTATAATACAAAAACCTCCAGCTGGGGCAAAGTGCACCGGTAGCCACTTTTAAGTCTGCTATTTGAAATGTATCCACGATTCACACTATATTTAAAGATTAGCCAATTCACTGGCTAATCTTTCAATAAATTTGTAAATTATTGATTGATATTTTTTAAACAACATGCTTAAAAGTGAATGTCTGGTGTCATTTCCACCTCCAGCTGGCCCAAAAGTCCGTTAAGATTTTAAAGACATGACAATGTAAAAAGTAATACGTCCAGGTTTTTAGTTTTATTACTATTAAACATAGTGGATAGGGGAAGGGTTACAAGGTGAGGAATCAAACCCTCGCCTTGTCATCAAGATTTTTAGTTTGTATCAAGGTATTTCCAGCAACAAGACCGAAAAAAGCACAGAGAAGTATCAGATTTAGCAACAGGGAAGGTCCAAGAACAATGACTTCAGATAATATATCCCAGTTCATCACTCTTTAATTATATAACCAAAACAATAGTTAGTCCTAACTGGCCATTTTGTAGAACACCAATCGATATTGGGGGATGCTTTTCTTGTACAACAATCTGAATGTTACTCTAAATCATTTAAACAAACACCCCATTGTGAAGTAGTACAAACTATATTAGTCAGTTTCCTACGTCGAATCCATGTTTATGTTCTCAGAACAAGTGATTGCAGGTATGATCTTGCTGTGGAAGCTGCAGAAAGAGAGGCTTCATCGGGATTCTCTTTAGCAGCAACAACTGCTGCAATATAAGCTTCTCTTGCCTCCTCCATTTTCTGCAAGTCTCTTTCATTCAACTGATCCTGTACAAAATGAAATTGAGAAATTGAGAATAAAATCCACAACAAAGCTCAAAGTATAATTGCACTTGTCAAAAAGTTGAGACCTCGTATTTTTAACTAAATCTATCGAGTAGAGTTGACTGTCTGACCTCCATCTAGTGATCTTTTTTCGAAGGCAAAAGCACCCCATTGCAGAGATAGGGCGAGGGGGAAAAGACAGTAGACATAACAATCTTATATTTTTTTGTAACTAAGAATGCGTTTCTGTCTTAGAGATTGATAGCATTTCAAAAATGTTAACTTACTATTTCAACATTTTGATCCCATGAATGAGGGATGACATCGCACTCTTCAGCCGAATCCCTGGTGGAATCATTCCCTGTCAACGCATGTACAAACTGCATGAATGATGAAATTTCTCCCTGCAACGAGTCTAGATCTTCTTGGAGTCTCTCCACTTTCTTGCTGGAAGTCATTGCTTCCCATTCTAGCTTCTCTACCGCTGCTTTCTTGTCAGCTAACTTAACCTGTAGAAAGAGAAGGAAAACTTTTAAAGAGGGCTTCAGGTTAGTGGAGTTACCCTCCCGATTGCTGAGTTCGTAAACCACACTGAAATTTGAGCAGAAGCTATTGCGAGCTTGTTTAATAGGTCAAATGGAAGAACCTTGAGGGAGATCTAGTAGTAAGAGTTACTCCTCAAAGTGCAGTAATGCGAAGGAGTAACATCTATTAGATAGGCACCAAGACATTAGTTTTTGACAGGAGTAACAAAAGGTCAATCATTCATTCAAACAGCAACAAACAATTACTACTATTGTATAACTACTCCCTATTTAACTCCATCATCTACTCTCTCTAACACTGGTCTCAAGCAGACTAGCTGAGTCATTTAGCTCCTGATTGGCCATAGAATTCAGGAGATTTTTTCAAATTTTATTTTCAAATATTTGTTTGTTAATAGATTTTAACCATTTTTTGGCAGAAAACCCAAAAACAACTCTTAATTAGTTTTTGAAGTTTTCTACTCACAAAACTTCAAATTCTTTTAAAGCAAAATAATTTGCATGTCGAAACACAATTTCAACTTTCAAAAACCATTTTTCATCTCATCTTTAAAAACTCATTTTTTTCAAGTTTCAACCAAATCTATGTCCAAACGCTAGCTTAGTTAAGAGAGTACTGACAGACTGTGAAATCTAAAATTTGTAGAAAAAATTGCATATTTTCCTTTTTCTTTCCCTTCTATGTGGTTGGAGGGATATTACTCTAGCATTAATCATTTTTACCTGTGCCTCAGAGAGTTGCACTTGAGTCGTTTTGACTAAAAAGTCCTTCTCTGAAATATCCTTTTTCATTTCGTCAAGTTCAGCATTAGTAGCCGTTATTTCATTCTTCAAGATTTCTGCTTCCTTCAAGAGTTCATCTTTCTCCAATAATTTCTTTTGCAGATCCTCCACTTTCTCCCTCAAAGTCATCAATTCCTCTCTATCCTTTTCTGTTAGTGATGATCTTGAGGAAGGCGTTGAAAAGTTCTCTGCACATCCATCGTGGCTACTGCTAACATTCTTATTTTGGTCCCTATGCTTCTTTGTTGCAGTTGATTGACCTGCATTTCTTCCTTTTGCTTCAGAAGTCTGCAACAACCAACAGTGTTGACATCTATTTTGAGCTAAACCAAACCATAACTCATTTACATACAGCAAATAAGTAAGGAAAACAAACTTGCTTTGTATGAAAAATCTTAAAAGGTAGAATGTCCCAAGGATCAAAAACTGCACAATAAACAGCTAATTCAAGAGCAACATCTCTGCATATTTCATGCCTGATGTTTTCAGGCAATCATCATGCTTATCGAAGTTCATTTCAGTCTGCTCCAACTCACTGAGTAATGCCACTTGCAATGGCTGGAAGTACTCAAACTGTCAAACATTTCTCTAGTCTGCTGCCTCAAACTGAAGCAACTTATAGTTGAATAACAGAACCAAGTATAGAACAGCGCAATGAGGGTGAAATATTTCACGTCTTCACTGT